CGCTCTTCCTGTGCTTGCAAAGCGGACAGGAAAGTAGAAACTTAGATGATGAACTTGCAGCACTTTGATTTCCTGGTCGATGCCCCTCCCTTGCCCGTCTCCGAACCAAAACACTGCAGAAACCAGGGTGGCTGCAGTACCAGCCTCAAGTGCTGGGATCCCCAGAGCTGTTTCTGCACACGGAGGGTGGATCAGCACGTACCTCCTTCCTGTTGCCATCGAACCGGTCGCTGGGACAGGGGCACAAACCAGTAAAATGCAGAAGTTGCGCAGCCTGGTTGCGTTAACGCCGAAATGAAACTCACTGCGGGCGCTGCCTGAGCTCTGCTGCACCTTCTTGGTTTCTTGCCCTTCGTGTTGCCTCAGTGCTACAGCCTCACCTCCAGAGGAAACACAGCCACCCTGGTTGAGTTGCTCTTTATAGAGATTTCCTTGGTGGAAGCCTGGACATTAGCAAGGACCCACTTTAGATCAGCCACATGCTTCAGATTTTCATCACCTGGGGTGTCAGGGTGATGATGTGTTGTCCTTTCCCAGCCCGGCTTTGGAATAAGGTGGTGTCAGTCCTGTTTGTTCCTCACTGAGCCTTTGGGGAGGATAAAATTTATGGGGTAGGAACGTCATCCCTGGAAAATTCACATTTAGTTTTCTATTTCCCCACCCTCAGGGAAAATTCTGACGGATGACTTTGCTGACAAGGAGGGGTTAGAGATGGGTGATGAATATTTTGCAAACCTGGATCACATTGAGAGCGTGGAGAACTTCAAGGAGGGCTACGAGAGCGATGCAAAATGCTCGTCTGACAGCAGCGGGGTGGACCTCAAGGACGAAGAGGAGGAAAACACAGGCACTGAGGAGCAGGAGGAGTCCAACGAGGACAGCTCTGATGACAACTTCTGCAAGGATGAGGACTTCAGCACCAGCTTGGTGTGGCGCAGCTACGCCACGCGACGGCAGACCCGGGGCCAGAAGGAGAACGGGCTGTCAGAGACGGCCTCCAAGGACTCGGGGCTCACCCGGCAAATCAGCCACGATGAGACGGCAGTGGCTGCCTCCTGCAAGCTGCCGGTGTCAGAGGAGACCTCCAAGAACAAAGTGGCCTCGTGGCTCAGCTCCAACAGCATGTCTGACGGCTTCCAGGACAACGACAGCGCCTCTTCCTTCAAGCTGAGTGAAGGCAGCGAAGCCAAGGCCACCAAAACAGAGCTTTCTGGTGAGAGAGAGAAAACCTGTGCTTCTGCCCTGAGCGACCTGGATGGAGAGTCCAAGGCATTGAAGAAAGATGTAAGGGAGGGCTGGGGGATGGGGAGATGGGGACTGTCCCCTGCCTTGAGGACATGGATGAGGAGATGGAGACACGGAGATGTGCCTCAGCTGTGCTCTTGTTCAGGTGGCATCTCTACCCAGACAACACGACCATGGTGCTGTTTGGTGTCCTCTTGTCGCTTACTCGGCCTTTGCCCACTGTGGTGGGGTAGGGAGGTGCCTTTTCCCCTTCCTGGGGGAAGTTGTGGCACAAAGAAGTCGCTCAGCACGAGTTGAGCTGAACATCCCTCCTGCCCTGGGCTCCACATGCCTCAGAGAGGGAGTCACCTCCTGCCTGGTACCCGAGGTGGGGTGGAGAACGTTCAGGGGACAGCAGGGAGGTGGAGGTGGCCTCTGTCCACCCCCTGCTCTGGACTCAGAGACCCAGTGGGTGGGATGTGGAGAGTGGGAGACCTGTGGTCATCACTTGGCCCTTCTGGAGCACCCACTGGACTGGGTGTCACACTGAGCGATGGGGACAGCCGGCGTCTAACTCCCAGGCTGCTGTGTGGGGAACATTTCCACGGCAGGGCTGGAGAGTGCTCCCAAAGGGAGGGATTTTAATCCTCTGTGCTTCTCCTCTCTGCAGGAACCTGAAGATCCAAGCAAACTGCCGGGGTAAGGTTCCTGAAATTGTATTTTCCTACTTTTTGATTCCAAATTTGCCTCTGAATGAGCTGCAGCTCCAGGGCTGCCCCTTAACTCTCTTCATGGTGCTGCCAGAGTGAGCTGGGAGGTGGGGAGGGTTTGGGCTCGGAGAGTCTTGTCCAGTTCTCAGCTCTCCTCAGCTGCTCTTGGACAATCTCCCTGGAGATACACGTGTGACCTGTCCTTGTCCTCACCCGGCAGATTAAGCGAGTTGGGAAGGATGTACGGCTACAACCCGAGCCCTCCCAAACTGGAAGGGATCCGGAGGCCGACGAGCAAGACCGCTCTGCTGCAGAGCAGGCGCCATTCTCTCGCCACGCAGCCCACCGCCGACGTACGCAGTGATCCTTCAGGCTTCAGACGTAGGCTGGAAGGGGTGGGTCTGCTTCCACCTCAACTCCAAACTGGTTTGATGAAGATCTCAAACCTTCCCTTTGGATTCTTTCTGTGCCATTTTTCCTTCCCAATTTGAGCACCAATACAGGGCTTGTGATTCGTAGTTGTGATTTCCTGGGGGGGCTCCTGATTTTCTTCAGCCAGTGGAGGTCGTTCATGGTTCTGAAAGCCCAAAAAGAGGACAGGGTGGTCTTTGGGTCATTGTTTTAGTGGGATGTAGCACCTTGGTTCATAGACCCAGCACACCAGGGACCCTTTGCTCCACAGAGCTGGGTCTAGAAGCCATCCTGGGGGAAAAAAGGGAGCCCTGAAGGTGGCTTGGAAAGCTCTGGAGCGATGCTCTCCCCTGACCCAAGCTGCGCTCAGGAGCTGGTAACATTTTTCCACAGGACGTGCTGACCCTGTCAAGCAGCACAGACAGCGACGGGGAGAACGGGCAGGCAGCAGCAGGACAGGCACAGGGCACCACCAACGACAGCGATGACATCCAGACCATTTCCTCGGGCTCTGAGGAGGAGGAAGGGGAAGACAAGAAAAACCCCTCGTCTGGGTCAGGTGAGAATTGCTGCTGGGGGAGGAATGAGGGCTGAGCGCAGAAAGTACAGAGATACAGCAAGAAATTTTGGCCAGAAACCGCCGGGAAAGGCTGATGGGGATGGAGCAGCTGTGAGCGCAGCACATCCTGCTCCTGCTCTGAGCTTTGTCTAAAGCTTCCCCGTGTGTGGCTGGAGACTCACCTGCAAAACCCAGTCCTCCAGCGCTGGGTATTTGTGGATATCTCAGAAAATAACTATGAGGCTTCTTGTGGTGGGTCTCCAGGCTCATGTGGAGAGCTGGGAGGTTCCCAGGAGCCATCCCAGGGTGGTGCTTTAGATCTGAGCTGCATCCCTAAGGGATTTCTTACCCCTGGGTGAAAGAAGAGAGTGTCTTGGGCCAGCAGCTCTCCTGTGGGGTTCCTCGAGGGAACACGGCAGCGTTTGCTCCTCTGGTGTGGCAGGTCCTGTGAAGAGGCAGGTGGCAGTGAAATCCACCCGTGGCTTCGCCCTGAAATCAACTCACGGGATCGCCATCAAATCAACCAACATGGCAGCGGCCGACAAGGGCGAGAGCGCGCCCGTCCGCAGAACCACCCGCCAGTTCTACGATGGAGAGGAGTCCTGTTATATCATTGACGCCAAACTGGAAGGGAACCTGGGCCGGTACCTCAACGTGAGTCACTGCCCTTGGCTGGGGGACAAAAGGGGAATGTCCTTTGGCAGCTGAAAAAGGGAAAGGGATCTATTTGGGGTGACCTGTCCTTTCCACGGGCCTGTTCCTCCCCAAGACTAGATAAATAGAGTAAAAAAAATAAATGGGAAAAGAGCAGGAGTGGGAGGATGATCCACCCCCCTCGAGTGGAATAAGGCAGCTGCCTGGCGAGCGGGATGGCCGAGTCAGTCCTTCCAGCAACCGTTACCTTTGGGAGCGCAGATCTGGTGACTCAGGGCGGGTGGAGCAGGCAGGGGAGGGAGCGTGTCCTGTCTCAGCAGCCTGACGCTGGGCGCAGGAGACGAATCAGGAACGCTGGGGTGTTGAGAAAGGCTCACCAGTGTTTACCGCTGGTTAATTCGCATCCCTCCTGACAGGAACTGGCTCACTGCGTGTGTCTCTGCTTCTCTTTACAGCACAGCTGCAGCCCCAACCTCTTCGTGCAGAATGTTTTTGTGGACACGCACGATCTTCGCTTCCCCTGGGTCGCCTTTTTCGCCAGCAAGTGAGTTGTGATGTGCTTGGGGAAGAGCTGCCAGTTCACAGGGCTTAATTGGACCCCACTCCTTGGCCAGGGCTGGATTGTTTCCTACTCCTCACACCCTCAGTCACTGGTTTCACACCAGCCTGAGCAGGGAGAAGCGCGGAGATGAGTTGGGTGAGGAACTCCCTCCTGTGCTGGAGATTCTGGAGCCATTTACATCAGTTTTAGACCTTTCCAAAGGGGAAGAGTACAGCCCAGAGCAGCCGGCTGCCCAGCTTGAGCCACAAACCTCACAGGCAGCAGCACCGGGCAGTGGTGAATCCCAGCCACGTGCTTCTGGGCACCGCGAGCGCAGCGTCTCCTCTCTGAAGCCCCACAGGAGTGATTCATCGGGGAACTTTGTCCCTTTGCTCACTGCAGAGCCAAGGGCAGCTGCGCCGGCTGCTTCGCCCTCACCCCAGGGGAAGCTGGACCGCGCCAGCCCAGCCCGAGAGGTCGTGCGTGAGCGTGGCTCTCTGCTAGCAGGAGGTCTGGCTTATCCTCCTTTTTGGAACAGCCTCTCCTCCCAGCCTGTGCTTTTTTTGTTCCCTTTCCTTCGCAGGAGGATACGAGCCGGCACAGAGCTGACCTGGGATTACAACTATGAAGTGGGGAGCGTGGAAGGCAAAGAGCTGCTGTGCTGCTGCGGGGCCATCGAGTGCCGAGGGCGGCTGCTGTGAGCCCACCCGTGCTCCGACCAGATCCCTCCTGACCACAGGCTTGGTGCTGACTTGCCCTTTGTGAGGGTCAAGTTTCTTCTCAAGAACTTGTTTAATAATAACTGTTACGAAGCTGAGTACAGCAGCAGCTTCGAGTTCTCCCGTTCACTTGAAAATTACAGCGGCAGATGGACACGGAAGAGAAATGTAACCTGGCACGTGGGCCACGCTGCGCTGGGCGGGTGGTGCCCATCCCGATGCCACCCACAACCTTGACTTCTGCGTCCTGGGGGCTCCAGTCACCCTGTGAGAGGACAATCCCTCCCTCAGCTCCACGGGAAAGGCTGTTAGACAAACTGTTACCTGCCAAGCTGTTACCAGTCGCGCTCCTGACAAGCAGCAGTCCCCGCTCTCTTCCAGCTCTTCACCAAATTTAAGATGTGAAGCTCACGCTGGTGTTCCCGACGGTTTTTCCAGCTGGAAACACTTCACCAAGACTCCAGGGAAGTGCTTCACGGTTGGGATTGAGCTATTGAGCTGCTGATGTCCCTGTGGCCTTGGGACCGGGCTGGGAGGGAGCGATAGTGGAGATCAACCCAGTAAGGGTGGACCAATCTGGATTTATAGAGGGGACGTGAATTTAAGTGGCGGGGGGGAGAAAAAGAAGAAAAAAAGGATCTGTCCTCAACTGTGAGACGTTGTAGACTCTTTTCATTGTTAAAAAGCAATAAAGTATGGTTTTTTTCTATTAAAAAAAAAAATGCTCTGAGCTTTAGACACAGAAAAAAAGCCCCAAACAGAGCAGGGTCAGGATTTAACCACCTCATCATCCTTGTCTCTGCAGGAAAACTGCCAGAGGCAGATGGGCTGAGACAGGTTGTGATGGGCACAGGGAGGGCAGGGAGCTCCCGCGGGTGATTTCACCGTGAGCAAAACAAATACTCATCAAATCCTCCCCCTGTTCAAGCAAAAGAGAAGCTGGTTGGAAGGAGAAGCTGCTTAAAAGTTTCTTGCTTAAGGAAGAGATTTGCTGCCGCTTACCTTCTCCCACCAGCTGAGGATCCAACCTCAAAACAGGGAGTTTGGGTTAAAATGCTGCCCTGACAGTGACTCAATCAAACCAAACTCCATCTGGGGGGGGCAGGGAAGGGCAGAGCTGGCACAGGCAGCTGGGGAGGGTGGAGCAGCCGCCTGCCAGCCTGGGCCGGCTGCCGGACACGGCACCAACCCAAGGACAGCTCCACAAGTAAAACTCACCCTTATTATTTATATTTTTTTCCAGTGCTAAATTTCAAGTGTTGGGGGTTTCCCTTTTTTCCCCCTTTTTTTTGGGTGGGGGGGGGGGGGCAGGGCTTGTACCTGCACAGCCCAAGGGTCACTAAACCACAGCAAACATGAGCTAAAAGAGGCTGATTTTTTACAAACTGGACTCAAATATCACATCACCCACCAGCTGAAATGCAAAATCCCCCCCCAAGCTGGAGCAGCAAAACGTGGGTTTAATTTAACAATTCTTATTAAACCCCAACAAAAAAATTGTGGGTTTAACAATTTAATAATTAGAAGAAAACAAAATTAAAATAGTAATGATTGATAATAATAATTAATAATAATAAACACACTCCCATCCTTCAGGCACCCAAACCAACACCAGCGCCCAGTTCTCCCATCCTTCCGGCCCCCAAACCAACACCAGCCCCCAGTTCTGCAACTAAGCACCCACACCAAGGAAGCTGGTTTTTTCCCCCCCCCCCATGCTTAATAATCTTTTTTATAAAAAAAAGAAAACAAAACAAAAAGAAAAAAAAAAAATCCACCTTTCTAGGGCCTCCACCAGCTCCAGTTCCATCCTCAGCAGCCACCTGAATAGCAGCTTTGTCACCCCCGCAGGGCGAGGGCGGCCGCTCCGCTGGCAGCCTGGCCAGGGCTCCTCGGGTGGCTGAAGCCCACGCTCCAGGCTGGTTCTGAAGACGTGAAAAAACTTTCAGGGGGACAAAAAAAAAATATATAAAAATATCAAAAAATCCTCAAACCTGCCCACTTTGAGCACTGCCTGTACCCCCCAAACCCCCACAGGAGCCAGGGCTGCTGTGCCAGCCATAGAAGATCCCCAAGCCCTTTATTTTTATTTTTTTTTACTGAAGTTTATTAGTTTTTAACTTTTAATATATATCAAATTTTATTTATTTAAAAAAAAAAAAAAACAAAACAAAACAAAACAACAAAACATTTTGGTCTGACGTTGGTTAATGGTCCTTTTCCCCCCACCCCTCTACGCTGGGAGGTCTCACCACATCCCGGGTGGATGCAGGAGGCAGAGCCAAGCC